ATGCTTATTTGTCTCAACAAAGAGATGGTTTGTGCTCTAGCTAGCTATCTCATTGACAATTAGATAACGAGTAGCGTAAAGCCAATCAGAATACAGCATTTGCATTAGAACTTGACAACATTTAAAATTACTAAATATATATACTGTATAGACTAATGTGAAAATGAATACTTTTAGGATGACGACCCCATTGTCCATTGATGAAGAAGTGAGGAAATCAACCTACAGTATAGCTATCCTTGAATCTTGGCATCAGGTGACATTGCATCCTTGGACCCATTGTACATTGCTGCCGTGGGGCAAATTTACTTGCGTTTTGCTGTTAAAAATATTCCACATACTTATTGCTACATTCCATGTTCTAAATATGGAATACACTTCAGGTGTTTCGAGTGTTTATGCATTTCTAGAATTTAGAAGCTGTCACCTTAAACCGCCCTGCTGATGCCGAGAACAAAATTTCTGTACAACAACTTTTAAGTAAGCTTGGACTCTGAAATTAATCGTGATAAATACTTAGTTCATATAAATTCATGCATGTTAAAGGTATTTCTTGTCAGCGAGTAATTTATAATAATAACCAATTTTGAACCTATATTTCTCTTTTGTGTGTGTCTTAATGTACCTGGTTGAAAGTGTTAAATCAACACCTTAAATCTGGTGTTATTTTAGCACCAGATAGGAAGAGGTGTTGCTTTGGCACTGCCAAATCAGGTGTTATTTTAACGCCACACTATAGGTGTTAAATCAACTTTTAAAACTGGTGTCACTTTAGCACTTAAAAGTGGTGTTAGTTTAACACTATAAACAGGTGTTAAATTAACCCAAAAACTAGTGCTAATTTAACACTAAAAATGGGTGTTGTTTTAGCACCATAACTAGTGTTATTTTAACACTTTTTTAGTGGTGTTAAAATAGCACCAAAAAGTAGTGTTATTTTTTACCTAATTTTTTAACACCACTTTTTGGTGTTATTTTAACACCCTAAAATTAACAGTGCAGGGACTGGAAACACAAGCAAAAGCGCCTATGATGCTACGTGCCATCCGTGATATGGCTTTAAGCACGTCAATGCATGCATGGGGTTGCCGTGCAACCGTGGTCTTTTTTCGGAAAAATACGATGCAAATCCTCCGTTATTTTTGTTTATTTTGTGGATAGAGGGTCATTTAAATATTGTATTTTTAGTTTACCTTTAAGACAGAGTTATTGCCAAGGTAAGTACGTTTTTATTTTTAATTTTAATTCTATATAGAGGTAATTTAATTCTAGTTTTGTCGAAGCATGTAATCAAAAATGTCGCACATAAAATTAGGTAGTTGCTGGGAACCTTTCAACTTGAGAATGAAGCTACAAATTGCCATTTGAAACATGCCATCATCATCTAAAATGAATCGAGGGTGCATTAGAGCAGTTACAACTTCGTGTGATGTGTGAGTCCAGCCATAGTTAATATAATGAGAGGGTTTGGAAGGCCGGATCACGTGACAAAATAACTTATTGTTCTCGGTCACGTGGAACTTATAGTGCATGCTTCGAGGTGTTTACATATACGATAGTATAATAGTTTAAGCCAAACAGAGCCTAAAAACATTAAATTTCATTGAATTTTCCGCGATGCCGGGAGCGAATTGCTCCATATCGGCTGTGGTACATGTCGAAATAGTGCTGGAGTTGGAAGTTTTCGGATCCCTTCAGGAAAAGACGCATTATCAACGAAAACTCGTGAAGCGTGGAGCAACATAATTACAAAGGACCGCGTAGTGGATGAAAATTTGCGAAGGCAAATCAAAAAATGGGACGTTGTATGTTTGCGAGAAGCACTTCAAGAAAGAGGAATATGAAATGTACTTATTTAGACATTATTCTTAAGACTTTATAGTTTAATAATAAGACTTTACAGTGTAAGTCTCAGGCTTTTTACACTTTGTTTATGCTGTCCCCGGAGCCCATCGTTGTGTGGTACGAGATTGGCTGATTTTATTGTTAATTTTCTTCTGATAAATAGGAATTTGCCAATTAGTTAACTTAAGAATGACATGAGTGTTCTTACTGTGTACGTATCTATTTATTTTCTGAAAATTTGTCATTTATCAAAAGTAGGTGGAGCAAAAATTGCTGCAACAGTGTTATTAATTCCACAGCCAAGCTAGAAGTGCAATGTAACTTGTATTATGCTCAAATCATACACTACACAATGTATGTTTAATTAAGCCACAATGCTCCTACTTTATCGTTTTAACATTTGTCTGATGCCATATGATTTTAACTCTTTAAGCTGCAATGCTTAATACGCACTGCCCTTGATGTGTAAAATTGTCTGATGATAGACACTGACAGAGTAAAAGAATAAAAGAGCACATTGAGATATGTTAGCCTATTATCTCCAATTAGCTTATTTAAACTGCATGACTAAATTTGGCTGAACATTACATAATTGAGAGAAAGTAGTTTAAGCTGTGCGTATATATTTATATATTGTTGTTATTACTATGTGTTGATGAAAAGATTACACATAAAAATATGAGGATAATTCATTGATACAGTATCATATTTACATTTAATATCATTGATATAACGTTATTGTATTATGTACCTGACTATTTCTTTTCTTCACTGGCAATCTTCAAGCAGAGACGGATTTTCATATTTTCGTTCGGGGTGTGTGGATAAATATCTGGGGGGGGGGGTGCTGTTTGCTTTGAAAGGCCGGGGCCTGGTGGCAACACCTGGAAAGGCCAAGGAAAAAGTTTAACAAAATTTGTTTTCTAGGCCTGCATGGTGAGATCTGATCATCTGAGACCATAATATTGGTAATTTTACAAATTTAGTAAGAATAATCAAATATGAAACTATCAAATCAAAATATATATAATTTGCGGGAGTGCCAAGACTTTTGGGGGCTGTGCCAAATGCCTCTGGAGGGTGCAAATCATTTCTGGGGGGGGGTTCCCACCCCCGGAAAATCTGTGCCTGTCTTCAAGTCTTTTCATAAAGCTTTCTTTTTCTGTGTACCCTGACTTATCTTATATTTATTTACAATATCCTTAGCAAAGGAAAACATCTTACAGTTACATATAATTTGACTGAACATTCTCTAAACATAAAGATTGACATTCCATGGAAGTTTCTACATCACAGTTTTGAATAATGTTGCACCACAAGTTTGTCACAAGAGGAGAAGTTAGGACTTCATTCACAATTGTGTCTACTGGTAGACAGTAACCTTGTCTTTATTTGATGTGTGTTTTAAATATTAACTCTGACACCTTGCAATGCTTACAATCCATGAGTGTGGTGACCAAAGTCCACCCCTCAACAAGGATGAAATGTATTTATTGGCCTCTGTGTCCTGTCGCATTGATGACATCGAGGCTTGGACTTCTTTGTTTCAGGAAGAATTGCTCCTATAACAGTTCTTGCTTTTCTGGTATAAAGATCTTATCACATAGCCAGTCAAATATGATAATGGTCCAAGCTCCTGAGGTGACAAAGACAATTCTTCCTAAAATTCAAACAAGAATCTATGATTAATTATTCTAATTACATTTGTTTGGCTCTGAGAGTTAGACTGCCCTTTGGTGGCACAGAAATATTATCTTAGATGCTTCCCTTGACAGGTAAAATCGCCTGGCGTTAAACAGAGTAAATACTAAAGTAGGGCATACGTTATACAGTTTTTCGTCAACCAACTGAACCACGTGTGGACCGATATCACGTATTAATTCGGCAACTTTTTCTACTAATATCACTGTTTGAAATGTAGAAGATCCCTCACCGAATTCTGCAACATGTTTCATACTGCGTCGCGGTGTCTTGTCAGGCCACCTTTGGATTTGCAAACTTTCTCACAGAAACTGCAAATCTGCAAGGGAACTGTTTCTTTCCTTCAATCTAGAGACGATGTATTGAAAGGGAAAATATTCATTAGGTAAATATCTATGTTTACAGTAATATATGTATAAAAATCATCGTCTAAATTTTATATTTCATACCTCTTCAAGCGCTTGTTGAACTTCAATCTGAACTTCATCCACGTCCATCTCGAGAAGCGCAGTTGTTTACTCTAAATCGTCCTCAAAGGTGAACAAGAGCTTTCTAAACGCTCAGTATCAATTTCCTCATCTATTTCCATGATTCCAAACCTTAAACGTGCGTTTTCAACGACCATTTCGAGCGGCTTTAGCAGTATGACTTCGCTTCACTTGAAATTGATACTATACACAGCGTCAGCAATTTGGGTTATCACACATAAAAACGTCTCAAAAGTTGCCACTTACGATGGAGATTTGCGATAAAACCTCGTATTTCACCCAAACCTCGTATAACGAGCGAAAATTAAAGATTTCTAAGTTGTCAATAGGGAATTGTATTATAGAATCACGCCATGATGCACTATAACTGTCACGTGATGCCCTCTATCGAGTTCAGCTCACGAAAGGGGGCGTTATCCTTTGAAGTTTGCCGGCCTTCCAAACCCTCTCATTATATTAACTATGGTCTGAGTTGGAATGTGTGCGTTCGTCAATATTATATAATTATAGCCTTATTTTCAAAATTTTCTTTTTGACCTCGTTTTCTCAGTGGCCAAAAACTTTATATAACATTTGTGTTTATATAATAAAGCACGTTTAAGCATAACCGCAAACAAGACGTGTTCTGGCGCAACCTTTCCACCAAGGTCATCCTCTTGAAGCCATTAGCTGATCGACACATCTGCAAGCCGCTCCCGATTTACTGTTCGGAGTACTTTTTCGAAACACTAATGCAATGGAACAGAAGACAGTCGCATGACTGTTCTGAATTGTTCTGACTACCCCGATTTTCGAGTAGGGGCAGCCAGAACAGACACGTGACACTGACCATTTTCATGTCATAAACATACTCGTTTATATTAATTCAGCATCGAACAATACTAGTTCTGCAAGTGTTATGTTCCGTAAACGTTCCGTAATATGTTAAGATGAAAATGTTCTAGAGTGTGTATTATGCTTGCGCTGGGTATGGAAATTATATATTACGGAGTGTACAATTACACAACTAACATAACAGTGCGACGCACTCTAGAACATTTTTATCTTAACATATTACGGAGTGTTTTTATCATTAAGAACATTTTTATCTTAACATATTACTTTCAATAAGTATAACACGGTTATTTACAATATTAAAAGAAAATGAAGATACATTCACTCTACTTTATTCCTTATATATTTAAACAGCGTATATATATTTTTTGACGATGCTGCACTTCCTACCTTGCAAAACTGTTTTCGATCAAATAGATATGAAATAAACCACCTTAGGGCAGTATTTTGAACCGCATAAATTTTTAACTTCTTAATGAGGATTTCATGATCAACCGTATCAAATGCTTTACGCAGAAGCAGATCAAGAAATACAACTCCATTTACAAGCCCAACATCCATATTGACTAGCCATGAATCGCTGTTTGACAACAGGATCGACATTGTTGATCAGTGGTTCTGACGGAAGCCTGATTGACACGGGCTTCTAAGCCTCTATGTCATTTGCATCTAGATAATCTGTTAACTGTATGCATACAAGCTTCTCAAATAGTTTAGCGACAATTGAAAGAACAGATATCGGTCTATAATTACCCTTTTCTTTTTTATCACCTTCTTTATAAATTGGTGAAACTCTTGCCACCTTAATGTAAGGTTATCAGGGGGTATCCCACTACATAGGGAACTACTGAGCAATTTTAATACGGTTTATCAAAAGTGTATATGAAATGAAAATTTCGATATCGGTTTTTTTTTGCATTTTCTGAAAATTTGGTCTTTTCAGATCATAAAAATACCAACCTTGTTGAATAATTGGAACCAGAAGTTTGTTAATTTTACGATGAAAGTTCGATTTTGAGACTATCGACTGGCGAAAGACTGGTACCTAAAATTCCGGCCTTGTGACGTATGCAGTGTGGCACGTCCAAGTGTTTGACTATACGAAAACAACAAAATATCGTGAAACTCTTGTAGCGACGAATTATTGCAGGACGCTAGAGAATATAGATGCTGTAAGGAAATTTTGGAGTGCATTGACAAATTTACTACGTTCGAGGACAAGGACGCAGAATGCATCACGCAGCACTGGCCGATTATGCAGTAGTCACCCATCGAGCAGTACTATAGAGACTGCAGGGGCTTTTCTCTCTGATAATTCAGGAAAAAAGTATCATAAAGCAACAAGCAGAACCCAAGATAATTATAAATAAATATCACTATTTCTTGAATATATTTGTATTCTAAACGATATCTTGTATTCTTTGTTATACAGTATGTCTATAATTTATCTTTTTATATGTATATATTTAGTACTAATAGGTAATAATAGTGACTTGACTTAGCCTTGGGTAGGCAAATCTTTAGTATTTGCAAACATGAAATTAACGACTCACTGCTCGATTATTTAGATATCTTCGAGCAGTAGCATATCGTTGGATAGTCAGATGGGTATTTGGCATGCTGGGATGGGAGAATTGCAGACCACTTCCAGCGTGCATAGTAAATGCATAGTAACTGCATTGCTTTATAGGGTTAGATAGTACAGATGCCAGCAAACAAGATTGCGTGCGTCGTGCGAGTGCTGGTGTGAGTTTCGTGACGTCGGTAGACGCGCTATGTCTGTTGCGCAAAACATGCACGCGTTTCTTGCTGAAGTTTTCTAGAGGCGAGATAAATACTAATGAAATTCTGGTCTATTTCGTGTACAAAAACACGCAACTAGATGTAATAGATTCTCAACGTGAACTTGACGAACGGTTGTGAGTGAACCGGCTGTGAACGTAAATTATATAATGAAGTAGAGCCCATCATTAGAAGCAGCTATATTAATTAAAGCTCGAAGTCCTGTTACCCTATCGTATTTTACCACGCTATATATGCAATTCAAAATTTGTTTGTTTTGGAATGGTCATGTTATGGCATAATGTCAGTAAATGTAGATATTTAGTATTAATTTCCATGTTATGCTTATACTAGTTACTAGTTACTACAATGTTTGCCATAATTAATATCATTCATAGCCTATCTAGGCTACATAATATGCGGTTGAAACCTACAACGTAGACATAGTTTCTTGTCTTATAGAATTTGCATTTTCGGCCGCTTTATACGCTACAACTCGTCATGTTGTAATTATATTGTATCTATACATTGAAAGCGATGTCTACAGAAAGTGGATTCGTTTGAATTTTCTTCAAAATCTCTCAAAAACCCAATTCTACCCAGACGAAGCTATAATTTTCATAGTGTTTACATAATATCGAAAGATCGCATTGTGTCACACTGCATACGTCACTGGCCGCGCGATGGAATGTCAGGAATTTCGCCAGCAGATAGTCTCAAAATCTTATTTTAATTGTAAAATTAACAAACTTATGGTTCGAATTTTTCAACAAGGTTGGTATTTTTATGATCGGAAAGACCAAATTTTCCGATAATGCAAAAAACCCCATATCGAAATTTTCATTTCATATACACTTTTATTTAAACAACTAACTTTAGTTATATGTTCTACTGCCAGGGCCGTAGCTAAGACGCGATAAATGGGGTATATTCGTATATTCATGTTCGCATAGTACCGTAAAAACGATCGCTTTCAAAAGAAATCCGTCGGGCAGAACACGAATATATGAATATGCCCCCCCCCCCAGTTATCGGTCTAGCTACGGCCCTGTCTACTGCACTACATAATGTTACGTTCTACTAGGGGTCAAAATCAAAAGTCTACAATGGTTTCTTTATGGCTCGTAACCCAAATCTTGCATTCTTATTATTTCGGGTAATTTTATATCATACTAGAAAGTACATGCACGTAGAAACTCTCGCCTTGCTGACCAAACCATAGTTATTCAAGTTATCATGGTAACACGAATACACGATTTTCCCGAGAACTGTGATTAATGTATTACATGATTCTCGAAGTGAAATTCGCTTACGTCGTTGTCTTTATATGCGCTTGTTTGTTAACTTTGTTTACGACCTGATGTCAAAACACGTTCCTAACAATTGAGTCATCGGCGGAACAAACAACTGAACAAGTTCACTGATCTCAAAATTATCGCTGTTTGCCAGGAGTGGGATAAGCACACTGAGGATACTAAAGGCAGATTTCAATTTTCAAGAGCATATATTTGGAAAATCACGTTTCACACAATGAGATCGATTTGAAGCAATTTTTGTTGGCCGATTGAGAAGAATTGATTTCGCTACTATGGAAAATCGTGAAAAATAGGGCAAGTTCGCTTTGAATGTTTAATGAATATTGTTATATAGCTAGTGTGAACACCAAACGTGATTGGCTGATTTGTAGTCACGTGGCTTTAGATAAATGCAATGTATCCCGCCCGGGCAATAAGTGAAAAAATTTTTCCCGCCCCGACCGGCTACGTACATAAATAAACAAAATGGCGGCAAGTAGTATAGGGAATGAGGGTTCTAGACCACTTTTTCGGCCCGCGATCTCACCCAACTTCCGGTCAGCGGTTTCCATATTTTTCCCTCAAAATCGCGGGCTCATATTTTTCTAGACCATTTTCCCATTATTTTTTCTATTATTTTTTCTATTATTTTTCCCATTATTTTTTCTATTATTTTTCTATTATTTTTCAGCATTATTATTTACAAGAATTATTATCATATGCTAGGGCTCATATTTTTCTAGACCATTTTTTATCTATTATTTTTCAGAATTATTTTAATCTTTATTATCATATTTAATTATACTCAAGGGGCCTAGGCTCTTAGGATCAAACACATTACTTGAATCATCTTTTTTATCTTGTGTGCTCACTCCAATGTTAATATTATTTGATACAGAGAAATTTATATCACCAGCCTTCCCAGTTCTACTAGAACTCTTACGACAACCACAAATCTTACCTAAGCAGGAGAAGCATGACCTCCACCTTGACATCTTATCTTATGATAGACCACATGTTAACTACCTGACCCCGAATATCGGAGTGACCAGCAAAAGGACATATCCATACTCATACCAATGGGCATTGAGTGTTCAGGTTTAACTATAACACACCAAGCTAAAGTATTATCTACCAAACGCAGCCTGGGCTCCTAAATAGAACATACTATTACCCTTGAAAACATAACAAGCTGTACTTCCACCAGTAGTTGTGAAAGTTCCATTGAACCAAGTGTAGGACAACCTTCTTAGGTCAATTGTAGCAAAAACAATTTCCTTCCTAACCTGGGTAAATTTTCCATTAGATTGCTTTTCCCAAACGGTAGCCCACAGGATGAGCCCTATAGGTATATTCAGAACGGTTGAAAAAATTGGGGAGTCTGTTTTAATAGTTATCGACTCAAGGTTGAGGTCTGTCATATTATTAATAGGATCGGTTCTCCATGAAGGTGGAATCTGATCTTGACAGTAAGCGTAGTACCTTGTTGCAGCAACTGAAACACCACGATAACCCCAAACCCATTCTGCATGTATATGTCGCCGTGTTCTTACATATCTTAAGTCAGCCGTTGCTTGAGTAAGGCCAGTTGAAGGTTTTAGGAAATTCTTTTCTACCCACTGTTTGTTAACAGCATCCTTATCATTTACAGGATCCTTTAGATCGAGAATTCCACTTGAATCTCCCATATCTAAATCACCTTTCACCAGTCCACCTCTACTGCTCATGAACTCATCTGTTGCCCATTTCTTATTAACAGCAGAACCGTTAGTAGTAGGATTTCCAACTCTAGTCAACTCGTAATCGTTAACATCTAAGTTACTAGCTAAAGTGCCACCATTACGCTTGAGAAACTGTGAGCACCATGAAGTCATAGAACCGTAAGAAACAGCACTAGAAGATCCAGTTGACCCACTATTTAACCCCGTAATAGTATTACCAGCCATGTCAATATTACCGCTCATACTAAAGCCACTACTACTTACAGAACTCCCACTAACATGATCCGTGACCCATTTCTTAGACACAGCAGAATTATCAGTTGTGGGGGCACCTAACTTTATAATTTCATTGTTTCCCATATCAAGGTCAGCAGATAGTGTAAGTCCACTGTAAGTCTCACGCCTCCTTCTACCACCGCTAATCTTATCTTCCACCCACTTTTTATTAACTGCAGATCCATCAGCACTAGGAGCTCCAACATTCACTATTTCATTTCCACCCATCTGCAGGTTACCAGTCATTCCAAGGGAGCCATCTGTTTTTACAAAGCTTCCTAGAAGTAAATTTAGATAGGATAGATTTACAAGGTGGTTAGAGGTCGTTGGACCCTGCGAACATGTAGGTGTATTTCTAAAACTAACGGTACCAGCAACATTTAGGGATCCTGTTCCATCTAACCGTAAGAATGTTCCTTCATTTAAGTTGAACCAACTTTTTGTAACAACAGACTGGGGGGTAGTTGGATCAGCAACATTTTCAATTTTATTTCCACCCATATCAATGTTACCTGTCATTGTAAAACCAGAAGTCTTATCGAACGTTGACAACTTACTCTCAACCCAGCCCTTGGACACAGCTTCGTTAGCAATCCTTGGGTCGGGTAGCCCGAAAAGTCTATATCCAGCCATTGATATATCGGCTAACATACGACCCCCGAGATTAACAAAGTTATTATCAACAGCCCACTTTTTTGTAACGGCAGACTGGTTCTCGGAGGGATCCTTAAGATTCTTAATCTCATGGTTATTCATATTAATGTCGCCGGCAATATTCAGTCCAGTCACAGGTTTGTTTAGCATTTTAACTACCCAGTCCCTATTGACTGCGGACTTTCCAGTTGTTGGATCACCAACATTTTCAACTTGATTTCCACCTAATTTAAGGTTGCCAGTCATTGCTTGAGTACCGTCAGTCCGGACATAGAGAGTGGCTAAGTATATGTCCAGGTTTCTTATCTGTGATAAAGTCCAGTCCTTATTTACAGCAGACTTTCCAGTTGTAGGATCACCTAAAGCCTTTATTTCATTGGTTGACATATTGAGATCATTTGTAAGGATAAGTCCAGGTAGACTTGCATGTACATGTCTACGGCTACCCTCAACCCAGCTCTTACTAGCAGCATCACCTGGATTAGTAGGATTATCAAGATTAGTTATTTTATTACCTCCCATGTCAATATCCCCAGTCATTGTAAACCCTGCAGGTTGAATTGTAAGAGCGGCCTGTTTAATGATCTCATCATCCACCCACTTCCTTGTGGTCGCAGAGGTATCATCTGTAGGTGCACCCAGACCTTTTACCTCATTACCATCCATCTCAATGTCACCCTTCATGGTAAATCCATCCTTATCAAACACACTACCGATTGACGGATCAACTTTATTTACACCTTTGATATATCCCTTATAGAGAGCCATTTTATAACATACACAATGTTTACAAGATAATTTTCATTAGAATAAATACAACTATAGCACCAATCCCAGCTCCAGCGATAGCGTTAACTCCTGAAGACTCATGGGTACTAACCACATCATGTTTCATGATAGGAACAACTTGAGTCTCAGAACTTGTAGAACCTTCCTTTGGCTTAATGACCGTAGAGCCTCCTGGAACCTTTTTATTTCCATCAATAGTATCAAGGTGGTGAACTGGTGTAGTGTCCTGGTGCTGTTTCTTTGAATGGCTAGTTTTCTTTTCCCCAACATAGTTTAGTTTGGTATTAACCCCAAATGTAGTTGTCTTTGTAGGACTTGAGAGTATATTATTATATCCAGGAATAGGTGTTTCAAGAATGATTAGCTTAGAAGGAACCAGTATTATGTTAGGATTGATTGCCATATTTAATATTACATTAGTGTCCCTTATAGCTATTCTCATGTTGCTAATTGTAGTGTTTACACTACTTTGAACTATAGTATCTTCAACAATTTTTCTAAAAGCCTCTTGTGATTGAAGGGCCTTACCTGATTGACCGCTAACAATACTCCACCTTGTTCTAGCTTGTGCTCCCAACACAGAATAAACATAACTTTCCACACTTTCCATAAGCAACTGCACTCCAACTTGTGTGATTCCACTTGACTCATATGGTATGAAGTGAAGATAGTCGGAGTTAGTGTAGTTTACCCATCCAACTTTAACATATGTTCCACCTCCCGAAGAGGCACCATTGAAATCCTGAGTTTTAACCGGAAAGTGCCCTTTCATTCCACTTATATCATACTTTTTCATTAGCGCAGGATTTTTCATAAACTTTCTCATTGTATAGTAAAGATGGTATCTAGCTATAGAGGTAATCTGTTTTGGGGTAGAATCATTCCACTCTAGATTCTTAACGGAGATGCCGCATAGGAAAGTTGCAATATACGCGGAACATATTTGAGCAAAATATGGTTCATTCTCGAAGTCCATGCTCACATTGCGTATATCAGTTGGAACACCCTTGGGAAGCTCAACTAAGCCCTTATTGTTCTCATAAAGCACCGCCTTACCTGACCACTCACACCGCTCTATTGGACTAAATTTAGAAAGGAAGTAATCCTGATCAGAAACGTACACCTTAAAATTATACAGGGGTGATCCTAGATTAACAGCCTTCTGAAAAACTGGATAATGGTGAAGACCCCATACATGATCAGCTTCCCTCAAGTTTGTAAAAGGAGGTAAGTTACCTCCTGAAGCCCAAACCAACGGCCATTCATGTTTAACATTTCTTACACTTGAGTAGTCAGGTACATTACCCCCTGAAGCCCAAACTGATGACCATTTAGTCGGTGTCTTAAGGGAATGAAGTGACTTTACAAATTCAGGATTACTTTTAAATCCATCTGAGGTAATACCATAAGAGGTACTATCATCTACCTTATAATTAGTCTCTACATCGGTAATTCCACCGTTAAGATCTATGTTAACCACGAACTCAAACTTCTCTAGGTCGGCATTCGGGTACTTCTTTATGAAAGCTTTAATTGCATCCTTACGTGCTCTATTAGATGCTCTTATAACTCTAGGACTCTTTACAAGTTCAAGGTACTTAGCATATGCATCCTCCATCTTAATAACCTAACGTATGTTATTAAGATGAAGTTCACAATTTTACTCCAGAGCTCGCACACTATTATATCACTACAGAATTCAGTTT